TGTAGTGGCCACACAGAGAGGGAAGTGAATGTGTTCAGACTTGTTCTTGAATTTTGTCACCAGGGTTTCAGTTTGGGATCTTAGTGAAATCTTGAGCTATAATTTTATTTTGATATGTTTGAGCAGCATTGTTGGTTTACTTTCTGAACATAAAGTCTGATTTCTGCTTGCTTTTGTCTTCTTTTTTGCTGCAGAAATTCCTCCCAGAGCTAATTCGAAGGGATCTGTGGACTCGGCAGATTGTTCTTCAAACTTCAATGACTCTGCTGCTTCATCGCCACTTTCAGAGACTCCTAAAAACATAGTGCCGTACTTTGCACGGCCTCCTTTCATGGAAAACCCTTCCCGCATCCCTGTCATGACCCTACCGAGGCCTCCATTATCCCTTCCTCCTCCTCCTTCACCCTCACTGCCTCCTACATACCGTGTCCCCCCAATTCCTCCTCTGCATTATCCTCACCTCATGCCTCCTCCTCCAAGGCTCCCACCTCATTTAAGTATGCCTCCCCCAACTGGTGTGCCTCCTGCTCTTCATCTAAACCCAGCATTCTTCCCACCTCCGAGTTCTGTGCTAGGACCCCCACCTGATCCCTTCAAGGTGATTTCTAACCCCTACGGACAGGGAAGGTAAGTGGCAATGCTTGTGCTACATACAATAAGGTCTTTAATAAGAAATGTTTGTTAACGGAACACTATAAATTGGAGGTCACAATTGCTGATATTCTGAAAATTCTACATTTGCAAGCAGGACAGTGGGGGTAGGCTGTAGGGAAAACTATACAGATGTTCCCTGTCATCTTTTACCTTTTCCTGATTTGAGATTTTACTGACCTAAAAAAATTATAAAGAAAACTATAAAGACATCTCTTTGAGAATCTGACATGTAATACACCACCACCCTAAAAAAGTATGTAAACACTAACAATCGGCTTCTATTATTTGCTCCATTTTGGTTTGCTAAATACAGGTGCATTGCTATATCTGTGCCATAAGTACAACATGTACCCGTTGATCATGTCAAATTCAGAACTGTCCTGTGTCGTTTGCACAATTTCTGTGTAATCTCAAGAAGAGTGATTGGCCCTCCCAGTTCATATCTTGGAACTACAGAATTATCTGCCTTTATGTTGTCAAAATAGGAGAGTAGGTGGGTCTAAGTAGTTTGGCAAAAGAAAACTGTGCAGGGCTAACAACACTCATTCCACTGCTGTGTGTTTTAAGCCCACAATAGGACTTAGTAGCGGAGTCCATTTCTTGCAGATCAATAGACATTTTTCTGTACCTGCATGGTCAACAGGATAAACATGGAGACATATCTTTGTATTGCAGAGATGTGCTGCATATTTTATTGGCCCTGACATACACTTTAAGATGGCTAAATATTTAAAGGTACTATCTAGTCACAATTAAAGTGTAGCTAAAGGCAGCATGTATCAGTTATTTATCAGTAAAGTCCCAGAACAAACCCACGATTTAGCTTAAAATTGATTCCTACCCTCAGTAAGAATTTAAATATGTAGTCCATCCTTAGCCTCACATGTCCTTGCTGAAGCATCTCGCACTGATTGTGGAAGGAGTTTTGCATAGCTAGCATGTCATTTCCGAGTGCTGTACTAGCTGCTGCATCTCCCAGGGTAAACTACACCTGGGCATATGTACAGTGGGTGGACGGGGGTATAAGTGTGACCATTAGAGCCATTGACAAGCTAGGGCTTGCTACTGTACAATAGCCTCCGATCATAGACATGCCCACTGTGACTTGATCGTGCCCCGGCCTGGAACAGCGTGGCACAGAGGGTGACAATGCAGCCACTTTTATGGAAGTAAAGCTGCGTTGTCACTCTATGAAAGTAAATAGAGCTGCAAGCCATCAGCTGCTGGGACCTAAGGTGATAACGGACACTGCTTGCCTCAATTGTTTTCTGTGTGTCCTTGTGGTGACCTGCTTTGATCTGGTGTGGTACATCGTAGGTCACCGATATGCGTGTGAACAGGCCGTTAGTTGTTTTTTTGTTTGATGTTTAAGATGAAGTAAAAAAAAAAAATGTAGTGATCAAAAGCTCTGCTGTTTTCACAAATAAGCCTTTTGTGGTATCCTTTATAATATTTGTTTTATCCTTTTACAGGGACATGAAGCACCATCAGCCCCTAGTCAGTGAGCTGGAGTTCGAGGAGTTAATGAACAGAAATAGGGCGATTTCTAGGAGTGCGCTTTCCAATGCTGTGTGTACGGCATCATTGTCTGGCGACGGCAACCCGCAAATGCGACAGTGCCGTCCGTCCGTTTTTCTACTACGGGCGGACGGCAACTGGTTAATCTCTTCCCACATTTTACTTATTGGAGTAGTTTACATTGCCATGAACTGTGGTTATTTTGTTTTCATTGGTGTGGGGTTTTTTTTTTTCTTTCCCATAGGGGACTTCTCAAGTGCCATGAAAACATTAGAAACAGCAATAGCTGTTATCAAGGAGTCTCGTGTAGCCAATGATGACAGATGTCGTGTTCTACTGACTTCTCTCCGAGATTGTCTGCATGGGATACAAGACAAGGCTAACTCTTCCAGGTACTGTAATAACTTAATTCCTAGGGTAACCTTTGCATTTATAAGCAGAAGGTACCAGGTGCTGATTGTATGGTCTCCCATAAAGTATAGGCATGTGTGCCTGCTTGCAATTTAATTAACATTTCTGCAGGTATCTTAATATATTATGAAATGCATGTTGTATTTGCTCTGTTTATTGGCCTGCCTATAAACCCAGTTAGTATTCTTCCTAACCTGCTGCTTGCTAGCATCTTTGTACATACAGGTTAGGTTTGTTTACTGAAATGGCACCAGGAGTGGCCCAGTAATAATAATAAAATTTTTTTATCTGATTTTCATGTATAGGTAGACTCCCTTTTATTAGCCACAGAGGCGTAAGAGGGTGTGTAAAAGGGAAATGCTTCTCCTTTCTGATTGTGTGTCAGGTGAGCATCAGAGAAGAACGCATGCAGTTGATTTTCACTGCTGCATAATGAAAACTTGCACTAACGTTTATAGAAAATGGGTGTTAGGAGAGGAGAGACGCACGCACACACACTGTGTGTGTATTCCGCAGTTCCCTTTAAAATCGAAATCAGTTACTAGACTGAAAAGGGCATACCCATTCGTGTCCAACTGGTAGAATGATTAGCTCTCCATACCAGGACCTATAGGTGTTCTAAATCCTGTTGTTTTAACCAAACCGAATGTCCTCTTACACTCACCGGCCACTTTATAGGTACACCTTGCTAGTATCAGGTTGGACCCCCTTTTGCCTTCAGAACTGCCTTAATTCCTCATGGCAAAGGTTCAACAAGGTGTTGGAAACAAGATTTTGGTCCATATTGACATGATAGCACCACGGGCCCAAAGTGTGCCAAGAAAATATCCCCCACACCATTACAACACCATCAGCCTGAACTGTTGATACAAGGCAGGATGGATCCATGCTTTCATGTTGTTTACGCCAAATTCTGACCCTACCGTCTGAATGTCGCAGCTGAAATCGAGACTCGTCAGACCAGGCAACGTTTTTCCAATCTTCCATTGTCCGATTTTGGTGAGCCTGTGCGAATTGTAGCCTCTGTTTCCTGTTCTTAGCTGACAGGAGTGACACCCGGTGTGGTCTTCTGCTGCTGTAGCCCATTTGATTCAAGGTTGGACGTATTGTGCGTTCAGAGATGGTATTCTGCATACCTTGGTTGTAACGAGTGGTTATTGGAGTTACTGTTGCCTTTCTATCATCTCGAGCCAGTCTGCGCATTCTCCTCTGACCTCAACAAGGCATTTTCGTCCACACAACTGCTGCTCACTGGATATTTTCTCTTTTTCGGCTATTCTCTGTAAACCCGAGAAATGGTTCAGTGTGAAAATCCCAGTAGATCAGCGGTTTTTGTACTACTCAGACCAGACCGTCTGGCACCAACAGCCATGCTACGTTCAAAGTCACTTAAATCCCCTTTCTTCCCCATTTTGATGCTCGGTTTAAACTTCAGCAAGCCATCTTCACCACGTCCTAGATGCCTAAATGCATTGAGTTGCTGCAAGTGATTGGCTGATTAGCAATTTGTTTTACCAAGTAATTGAACAGGTGTAACTAATAAAGTGGCCGGTGAGTGTATAATATAGCCTATAAAGAGGAAATACTGCATATACAGATATGTTTTACACCAAGAAGAGTGCTCACATTGTGTCTTGTCTCAGCAGAAAGCGTCACCGTTCCAGAGACAGATCACCCAGCCGATCACGGGAAGGCAGCAGCCGACGTCACAGAGATCCACACGAAGACAGATCGGATGAATATTATCATGACCGCCATCGTGATAAGGATAGACACCGCTAGTGGAGGTGAGTTTTTATGAAAAACAAAGTGTAGAGGCAGGAGGTATAGCAGAACAGTAAGATGAAATAAGACTGATGCAGTTCATTTCTGAGTGCCAATAGTGATCTTTTGAGCCATGAGAATAAACTTCAGTGGTGTGTGTGTGTCAAATACATTCCAAATTTTCTTCTGTAGCTTTGTGTATTGTTTAAAGAAACCTGTACTGAGAAAAATGTGTAGTCATCCTGTGTGTCCACGTTCTGAAAGTACCTGACTTTAATACTTTGAGTCACTGGTCCAGAATAAGCATGCAGATCAAGAACGTCAGAACCACTAATTGACATGCTTGTTTGGGTCATTGTCTTAGAAAGTATTAAAACCATTGATGACAGTAGCCTGACAACTAGTATTTTTTAGATGGTGAGGTCCGCAATGGAAGCCTCTGTACTCAGTACAGTTTTCTTTTCGGTTATTAAAAGGAAAGTGTGTTTTAATGTGAGCACATATTTTAAGATAATTGCAGGGCTTCCATTAAAGTAGTGATGCACCGATACTAGTACTTATCCTGATACCGGAACTTCGAGTCATTACACGCCGCCTGGCTTCTATCTCCTACGGCTTCCGGGCCACACGGGAAGCCAGCCGGCATGTAATGGCTTGCCTCTCGGCTTCCTGATTGGTCAGGAAGCTGGCTCAATGCTTCCTCGTCACCTGGTGGCGGCTTCCCGGCTAATCAGAAAGCAGGGTGGCAAGTCATTACATGCCGCTTGGCTTCCTTATTGGGACTTCCGGTATCGGGGAAAAATAAATAACGCTACTCGATACATAAAAATGATATCGGTGCATCCCTACATTAGTGATTTTTCAGGAAACATTTACATTTTTGCAATCTTGCGCATCCTATTATTTTGTTTTTGTATTGGATATATACATTTGTAGATTGGCCATTGGGGGAGCTCTGATGCAGTCAGACTGTGTAAACCGTAATAGATGTGGTTGCCTTACTATTGTGCTGCAGCTGGGGGTCAAAATTCCCAGTCTCCAGTGTTTTGACATGCCCCCTGCACAGTGCTCCATTTTAACACTCGCACTACCTGAGCAGCGCTGTTGATTAGAACACTGTTAAGGTGCCCATACACTGCTCGAGAATCGGGCGAAATCCCGCGATCGTACGAGAATCGAGCAGTGTGAACGAAGACGTGCGACCGTTTCTACTGTGCGGTCGCACGTCTTTTGTCGAACCAACATGCTCGAAAACCCGGCGAGAATCGTACGATTCTCGGCGGGTTTCTAGCCTGCTCGTCCGATAGCTGCGGAACGGGCCGGTGTGCGCACGCGCACACTGCCCGTTCTGCATTGCCGTCATCGGAAACCCGCCCCTCAGCGGGGCGGGCTTTCGATGATCGCAAGTACGATCTTCCCGTCTAAGGTGGGCAGATCGTACGAGCTTTCAATAAGCATACGACCATCGCAAGACAAAAGTCTTGCAATGGTCGTAAGGTGTATGGGCACCTTTTAAGGAGTGTGTTGAACCGCAGAACTTTTTGTTGAGCAGTGTGTAGCCCTGCCAGTTGCCGCACCGTCTGCTCAAAGACAACTTCCAGCTAGCTCCACTTTTTCCTCTTCCTGGGATACAGATTGCCACCCCACTGGAGTGAATGGGGCTGCGGCCCGCACACAAAGTGTGAAGAGGAGCCAGCTGAAGGTTTCTTTGCAAATGCTGTGAGGTGTTGGGCAGGGCCTGAACTGAAGGTAAGTATGTTACCAGGCGGGCTGCACCCAGGGAGGTGGGGGGAGTTAATTAAAGGAGAACTTCATTACAGATGAAGTTCTCCTTTAAGGACTAGTTGAGGGCTTAAAGGACAACCTCAACACAAAACAAAAAACTTTGACTTAGCCATCCACATGACTTCAGTCCATCAGGCATTTTTACAACTTAAGAGAGTTTGGCAAGAGGCTGGGCTACCCATCATATTATGCAGAGGTCTCCCAAGTAGATATGGGGTTTTATTTGTTCAGGAAACCCCTTTAAATAACTTGGAGATTGAAAAAGTAAGAAAATCTTAATTTTTTTTTTCACTACTGCATGTGACAAATTATCTAACTCCTGTGTGTAACCCTGGAGTACTACATATCTCCTATTGCTTGCTTGTTTTCTTTTTCTTATCTGTATTATTGTGACATTTTCAATAAAAAGAAAGTTGTAAATAAACATTCATCTAACCAATGTTCTTTTTCATGCAGGTCTTCAGAGTACTACACAGATGCTTTTTTTTCAGTTTTAAATAAGAGACTCACATTTTGTTGTTGTGACATAGAGGTGATGCCTGGCCCTCCAGCTACAACAGAGACTTCTGTTACTGCAGCCCCTAATGGATTTATTCCATTTCATGCAGGGACCAACCTCTCTCCTGTGTAAAGCACAGCTCTCTCTTCCTGTTCCCAACCAACAGTCTCGCCTGGACACTAATGCGTCACCTTGTACACAGCGCTGGCCCACTCTAATGGATTCTTTTCTTCGCTATTGTTGAAATTCTCTTGTTTTCCTACCATAAGTAGTGTCTGATTATTTGCAGTCTTCCCCCCGTGTTTTAGCTTTGCCTTGTTGCTTTTTGACACGTCAAGAGATTCTCTTTATTAGGTGACGTTAACATCTCTACAGTGATGTACCTAACCTTTTATGTCTGTCCTGTAAATGCTCTGTGTGCCTGGCCTCTTTCCTTGAGCCGTTCAGACCGTTGTGAAGTGTGCAGGCAAGGCTGCCCGTTGTGTTGTGGGTGAGGATGCTTAATGTGTTGAAGCAGAATTCATCTCCCTGTGATAACCATTCACCAGCCCCATGATATGAGTTTTATATGGAGGGGACTGCATTTACCAGGTTTGCTATGGACTGCAGATAGGAGAGGTGGCTTCAGTAGTCAATCTAAAAGTAAATATTTTCCCTTATATTTGAAAACATCCGACATTTTTAGTTGCGCATATTCCGAGGGGTGTAAAATCAACTCAATGGACGGCATCTGCAGGGAATTCACCCTTCCCATTGACATTCGTTTACTCCTCCTAGAAACTGCAAATAAAACTTGATAAAGGTGTCACTCTTTTATCCGAGTCTGTCTTTTGTCCGTTTTGCCATGTAAAAGATTGAACTGTGCGCTTCTGTGAATCTACCATGAAAAGTGTTGTTGCTTGGTAAAACAACAAAAAATGCTCGGTATATTGAAAGCCAATTTTTTTTAGTTTTGAATCGTCTGTCACGTTATTGCTGTGTCCTGGTAACAAAACAAGAAAAAAGGGAAAATCTTCTAATACACATGCTTGTTTAAATGACAACTGTCTTAGGTGATTTCCCGCACTTTGGAGAGATTTTCTTCTCGCTTGCTGTGTCTACAGGACATAAGTGAAGGGAATCTCTCAAATGGGATGCAGATGGCAGAAAATCTGAAGGGTTTACATTAGGGATGCACCGATACCGGTATTTCGGTTACGAGTACCGATATTTTTTCTTCTGTATTAGCCGATATCGAAAGTCCCATTAAGGAAGCCAGGCGGCGTGTAATGACTCGCCACCTGGCTTCCTGATTAGTCGGGAAGCCGTCCCCATGCTTCTTGTCACTGTGACGAGTAAGCATGGAGCTTGCGTTCTGGCCAATCAGGAAGCCAGCTCCATGCTCCCTCGTCACATAGTGACAAGAAGCATGGGGACGGCTTCCCGACTAATCAGAAAGCCGGGCACTGCATCATTACACGGGCCCGGCTTCCTGATTGGCCAGCTTCTCGACCAATCAGGAAGCCGGGCAGCAAGTTATTACATGACAAGACAAGGGAGCATGAAGCCGGCGTCCCGTCCAATGAGAAAGCCGGGCAGCGAGTCATTACATGAGGTGACGAGGGAGCATGAAGCCGGCGTCCAATGAGAAAGCCGGGTGCCGCATCATTACACAGCGCCTGGTTTCCTGATTGGCCAGGAAGCCGGCTCCATGCTCTCGTCACAAGTGACGACGGAGCATGGAGCCGGCTTCCCGGCCAAACAGGACGCCAAGCAGCGTGTAATGACGCGCTTCCTGATACAGGAAGTATTGGACTAGGCATTTGGGTGAGTAAGAGTACTCACCCAAATACTCGGCACCGATACTAGTATCGGTAGCGGTACATCCATAGTTTACATAGGTAAAAAAAAGGCACAAGTCCATTGAGTTCAACCAATAAAGGAAAAACAAATAAATAGAAAACCTCCAGCAACAGAACCCTATGCCCACAGTTGATCCAAATGAAGGCATAAAAAACCATTATAAACCCTGGATTAACAATCTCTAGTGTTATTACATGTTAATATCCAGTTACAGTCTGCACATTTAGGAATGTATCCAGATTTAGTTTTAAAACAATTCACTGAGCTAGCTAGAACTAGTTCCTGAGGAAGCCTATTCCACATTTTCACTGCTCTACCTGTGAAGAAGCCTTTCCGTATGCAAAGGTCAAACTCCCTCCAGACACAGAGAGGGGAATTGATCAAAATCTGGAGCAGCTGTGCACTGCAACCAATCAGCCTCTTTCATTTTCGAATCTTGACTGAACAAACTGAAGAAAGAAGCTGATTGGTTGCCATGGGCAACTGCTCCAGACTTTGTCTACTCCAGTTTTGATAAATTCCCCTGAGTGCTCTCTTGTAAAAGTGAATAACTTTGCACCATTTCCTACTCCTTCCAAAATGAGAAAATAAATACAGCTTAGATGTACGTAGATCTACTAAATGTGAATCCAGAATGTAAATGATATTTTGTTTCTTAAGTCCGTGTGTGTTATAAACTATTGCCATTTTTTTAAATAAAATGCTTGACACATTTTATTATCATTTGTTGCATTTCAGTGCTACTGATTCCCTGCAGCCACTTCCTGTCTGCATGCACTCGATCCAGTGATGATTGAGTGCGGGTTACTTGGTGGGGGACAGTAGTGGAACATGTCTGCATAGTGTGTTGAAGCAGCCAAGTTTAGTCTCTGTTAGAAGCCCACGTGACAGGGTGACAATACAGGAGCACAATTCGAAGACACCCTAGAACAGGAAGTGTCTGAACAAAGGACCTTCACCAGGTATTATTTTTATGAAACCTGTAGATTTAACTATATTGTAACTAAAGTTTTACATTACTGTAATATGTTAAATATTACATGATTTAGTGATTGAGATTACATTGACTTTAAAGGAAACTTGTCAAGAGACTGAACTTCTGACTATACAAGTTTCATATCTGCCATGGCCATCCCCCTGGCTTCAGTACTTTGGTGTAATATCTACTTTTCCAGGTCATTAACTCATTGTCCCAGACAGTACTGAAGGCAAATCATCATGACAGCTAGGAGGTGATCTACAGATTTCTCTGACAGCTCATGTACTGGAACTGGAGGAATGGAATGCAGCCTATTTAATAGCAACCAATCAGATTGCTGCTGCAGTAAAGGTTACAGCACAATATTTGTGAGATGGAAACAAAAGCTTTCTGCAGGAATGTACAGAATTGCTTTCCTAAAAGAACTATGGCCAAACCTTTTTTGGCTTTAGTTCTCTTTTGGGTTACAGGAGGACATTTACTAATGTTCTTCTGTGACCTAAAACTCAGCATATTGTGGGCTATTGCCACTATATGCTGACAGCACACAGCCACGCTGTAGCCAAGAAGGATCCTGACCATATTGTCTGGATCTACCCCGCTGCCTGATTGACAGCTGGCTCTGCCCCTCTAGAGACAGAGCTAGCTGTGTCTGCCCCTCCAATGAATGCTGGTGGAACAGAGAGGGGAGGGGGAATCCCTGCTTGGGAGGCGGTGACACAGTCACTACTCTGCAGGGAGATCATTGGAAACTGAGCGATGAGCGGTTTGTGATCGCTCAGTTCACGATCAGTAGAGCCAACGAATGACAGTGTCGCGCGTTGGCTCTAACTATGGGAGATGAGTGTATTTCACTCTTCCCCATAATTCTTTAAAACAGAAGCTAAACAAGAGGTATCGTAATTTTACAATAGTCAAAACCCTCTAATTATTCCTTTTATATCTCTTTGTCTAACCATCCAAAATTGCTGGTTCAACCTAAGGTGAAGTCTCTTTTCTTTGGCCTTTTTGGTATCTTTTAGAATGAAAAATTATCAGTAGGTTTTTTTTTTTTCTTCGTTCAAAGGTTTTGTAATTATTTTGAAGCAAGTAAACAAGTATGTTTGCGCACACTTCAAGTGGCAATTTCAGAATATAACACATACATTGTACATAAAATTATAAAGATAACATTAGTACCAGAAAAGGTCCAAAGAAACCGTAAGTAACATTGGGAATATCAACCCATTAATAGGGCTTTGAGACAAGGTCACAGACAAGTAGCCTGTGTTACCTGGTTCCGAGGGAGGGATACCTCAAAGAAGGAGGGAGAGAGGAGAAGCCACTGAGGGGAGGGAGAGGTTGGGGGAGAGAGGTGGGAAAGCAAGGCAACAGACGGTAAGGCAAAGTATAAGAATGGAGGAGTAGAGATAACTGGTCACCAGCTCCGGCCCTAGATTCTCATATGGTCAAGGAATCCACACTAAAAGAGGGAGGGAGGTACGACTCAATCCATGGCACCAAAGCATCCTTTTGGATTGCAGTGAGTTTCTCAAAGAACATCACACGTGATACTCTACGCTTGACTTCAGCAAAGGGTAGGTCAGGGGACTTCCAAGCCTTCGCAATGACCCGCTTGGCTTCTGTGAGAATTAATGTAACCAATCGGTGTTGACGTACCGTGCACACCGGTGGTTTTTTGTGTAACAGAGCTTCCAATGGGTCCTTACAAAACGTCTTGCCAGTAACCGTATATAATAGTTGGTAGACTCTATGCCAGAATCTCCTTACCTTAGGGCATGACCACCAAATGTGAAGGACTGATCCCTCCACTCGGCAACCCCTGAAACAATTTGGAGAGTAAGGATCAGTAGGTTTTTTCTTGGCCTTGAGTGGTGACCAAAAAAAAAAGATACACACCACACACACTCTGTCAATAAAATAAACATGTTTAAAGATCCTTCTGTAAGAAGACATTTTATACTCACCCCTTCTGCTACCTGTACTGCCAAGCTCTGCTGTATGGGAGAAAAATCACCTCTTAAAGAATCTTTAGAAGCAAACACTTCTGGGATTGTTGGGTTCCTTGTCTCCTGATGCACTCTGGTTCAATTTGCAGGCCCCTACCTCACTACTGTGTCATGTGCAGTGGCACACACATCTAAATTACTTTGAGTGGATAATATAAGTTACACTGTTAGAGAAAAGCTGTCTCAATCCTTATCCTGTGCACATGGTGGAAAAATGCACTCCAACAAAAACATTTTTTCCAGGCCAGTACTTGTAAAATAAAAAATAAAGACCAGACCCCCGTCGATTCCCCTCTGGCTGCGGAAGGTTGGCGAAATTGAACGCATGGAGGACCTGATCTCCTTTGCCAGGGGCACGCACGCTCAGCATTGTGCTAGATGGTTTTATTGGCTGGAATTCACTCTCTCCTCCGAATATGGCACCCTGCTACAGGAGGGGATGGAGCCATAGGATGGAACTGGAACAGCGAGCAGAGCCTCCCCGCCTCTCCACCCCTCTACCTTTTAGGTCTAAAGGCGTGATGTTGTCTCAACACTTGGCCCTGTCTCTGAAGGTTCAGCCATTTTGGCTGGGATAGTCTCTTCTCTCCGTATCTGGGGGGCTTTAGGCATGGGAGAGCCACCCTGACTAGGGCTACTGTCTGGCTTCTCAAAACTAGTAGTTCTAATAACATTGGGAGAGTCTGCCTTGGACACTTTACCTGCCCGGTGCTGCTGTGCTTTCACTATGAATAAGGGTTTGGAGTCCATCCTGCAGCACGGAATTTATTTTGGTTTCTGTTGGCTAATGCAGACAGTCTCAATCCCGTTTGCATTTTTTCATCAAAGACATTTCCTTGGGAACCAGTTGTTTTGAACCTGTAATCTCTGGACTGAGAAGAGAGTTTCACACACCTGCGTGCACCTCAGATTCTGCATAACGGGCAGAGGGCAGGAATTGACTAAAATGTGAGCTGTGTATGGCCATTTTAAGAGGATGCACTATATGCTCCAAAAATGGGGAAGTTTGGCACCTGATAGGCACTCCAAAAGATGCAATGCAGAAACGAATGAAGTTGCAGAGATAGTAAGCAAGCAGGACTGGACAATGAGAGGGTTATAACAGAACAGAGAGGGGTGTTTTTTTTATTAGCCTAATACAGCCAAATGATGGGTCACAGTAGAGAGAAAAAAGGAGCATGTGGAGTTTCCCACTAGGAAGCAGAGTTTTAGAAATGCAATTTCGACTCTGCACAGCAGGGGGCAGCAGCACTCATCACCTTGCCACTAAACAGATTTGTTGCCCAGAAACAGATTTGTTGCCCAGAAATGACTTTGGCTGTACAACACCAGTGTCACCAACAGCAGCAATATGAAGGGTGCTAGCAAAAAGGTAAAGGTGCGAAGACGTGTACAAGAAGCTCCTAAAGAAGCTGAAGAGAAGGAGATTGGCCCTAAGGAAGACGGTATAAAGAACTTTGGTGATGCTGCTTTTTGTTTTTTAATTTTTTTATTATTCCAATGTTTTTTTTTACAGTGGATACAATACGTGCAGTCATGTGACTGCTTGGGGTCAATGTGTAACAAGTGATTGCAAATATTATTTCTTATTATATTATTATTATAGGATTTATGTAGTGTCAACAGTTTGCTCAGGACTTTACAATATTTATGATTTTAAAATAAAGTGTTAAAATATATCTAAATGCGAAACATTTTTAGGTTTGGATAAAGAGTTGGGAATGGTTCAAATTGGCAGTAAAATTCAATGTTTCCATATGAGATCAGGGCCCCCTTCCCCTGTACAAATTGTAGTAGAAGTACAGGTGAAACTCGAATAATTAGAATATCGTGCAAAGTTCATTTATTTCACTAATGCAACTTAAAAGGTGAAACTAATATATGAGATAGACTCATTACATGCAAATCAAGATAGTTAAAGCCGTGATTTGTCATAATTGTGATGATTATGGCTTACAGCTCATGAAAACACCAAGAACCCCAAATCCACAACCTCAAAAAAGTAGAATATTTCATGCAATCAATAAAACAAGGATTGTACATAGAACAATATCGGACCTCTGAAAAGTACAAGCATGCATGTGTACTCAGTACTTGGTTTGGGCCCCTTTTGCAGCACTTAATGCAATTACTTTTGCACGATATTCTAATTATTCGAGTTTCACCTGTATGTACCCGTAATGAAAAATAATATTTACTAAAGCCTTGTCTTCCAGGGCGCAATGTCACCATCCTTCCTGAGAGTACCCCAAATCTTGGGAGAGGACCCTGCAGCCCCGCGCAAAGCTTCTTCTTGCAAGATTTGGGATCCTCGTCAGTCTGGGGACCTTGACAGAAGAAGGTTCACATCACCCCTACCTAGGCACCCGCGGTGGAAGAAGGGGATAAGGTTATTATATAATCTAACTTTTCCTTACAGGTACACTTTTATACTACTATTATCCAGAGATATTTACATGGGAGGTGGCCACCCTCTAAGTGAACTTTGCATTTTACTGCATGGTCTGTCTTTAAAGGTTTGGGTTATTCTTTTTTTTTGTTGCTGTCTGTATCTCATTGGGTAGAATTACCTTGAAGAAGAACTTCGGGCAAATGTTTTTACTTAACCCTTGCAATGGGGCTACCACCAAACTGCAAGGTTAACCCCTTCATGACTGAGGTCTTTTTTTAATTTTTTGCACCCATGTTATATTCCACATTTTAGGCCTGAAAATTACTTAAAACCCCCACACATTATATATTTTCTGAATGCCAAGACCCTATACAATATAATGGTGGTAGTAGCAAATTTTTATGTTGCGCAATATTAGCGCAACTCCTTATTAAACCCCAAAATTTAGTGATAAATTTAATTAAATGCCCCAAAACACAACAAAATACCAATTTGTTAAATGTAATATAAAAGATGAGGTTACAACGAGTAAAACGATACCCAACATGCCCAGTTTACAAATTGCGTGCGTCCGTGAAACGGCGAAAAACTGCAGTACCCCAAAAAGTCCACTGAAGACGCTTTAAAAGCCCACACAGGTCATCAATTTAGAGATACCCCAAAATACTGGCCCCAGAATTATTGCTCTCACTCCAGCGTGCGCGGCAATATCCAACATGTGTAGCGCGTTCGTCGTTTTCATACGTAGGCGCACCCGACGCGTGTTTACATGGCGACGCGTGTGCTCGCAGGGCCGGGGGACTTTTACATTTTTTTTATTATTAGATTTATTTATTTTGATTTTCATTTTATTAAACAGCCCCGATGCTGGTGACGTACACTGTACGTCGTCAGTCACGAAGGGGTTAAGTGTTCATTTTCATTTAGGTGCAAAAATAACAAAATTATTCTCGCCCAATCCTTGCATCTGGTTGGCTGTCTGTCTCTCCCTTTGCTCCAGCAGTTAAAGGTCCCGTGTGTCATCATATTCAATACACTATGCATTGAACGTGAAGATGCCAAAGGACAGTCCATCACTGAAGCAGAGGAGGGGACAGGCTGGAGGGAAAGCTCTAACAGCCAGCTGGTTGCAAGTTTGTTATTTTTGCACCTAGACCAATGGAGCACTTAACCCTTGCAGTGCAGGAGTAGCACCACTACAAGGGCTAATAACATTTCTTTTTTTTTACTTTTTTTTAACTTTTTGTAATGAGTTCTTCATTAACTTTTGGTCACAAATACACAACAGCAAGTAACAAGAAAACAATGGTCAGTACGTAGTACAAATAGAAGGGTGAAGGTACCCATTGGTCACAGACAGCAATAGCATCCTGTCTAATGGTAAAAGAGAGGAGTGCTGGACTGCATGGTGTGTTGTGATTTATGATGAAAGGTGCATGGACATTAATATACATCCTTTAGTTCTGGGGACCCTTCTGAGCAGCCCCTGTGGAATAATAAAAAAGAATGAAGGAATAAAAGCACCACTTCACTGGTTAAAGCCCATTATACATTTTATTTGTCTCTATATGCCATTATTTACTGTATATTTTTACTTGAAGGTGATAAACAGCAAATTAACAATGATGAACCTCCTGTAATATCAGAAAACAAAGTAAGTTGTCAGTCACTTTCCAAAATGCAGAACTTAAAGCAGACAATGCGTATTGTAACGGGGACCCCCTTGTCTTTCAGGAGGATGTAATGGTGTTTGAGGGTCTTTGTGAACGAATGCTGTCAGCTATGGGCCTTTTACAGACCAGTGTATCAGAGGTGAGTAGAAAAGATATGGGCCCTGCCCAGACAAGGTATTTGCTGTAACTGTGTTGTCCATTGTAACCAACCACATCAATTCTATCATTTTTCTATGGCAGAGTAGTAAATGGAGGAATCAGGTTCCTTTGCTTATCTTAAACACATTTGCTCTGCTTTTTTAAACACAAAGACTATAAAGTTGTATTGCATGTTTGAGGTCACTTGTACAATACATGATTTTTGTTATCTCCAGGTCCTGGATGTAAAAGATGAGTTAATCCTACACAATGTGCCAAGCTGTGTCCAAGCCCAGATGTCATTGTCCACATCAAGGTTATTTAGAAGGTAGATTATATTGACTGGCAAATTATTCGCATTGGTCTAAGTCAGACTGATATTTGAGTTCTAGTAGGGCTGAATCACAAGCTTCTTATACCCTTCCAGGGGAATAAGTGATGCAACTTACCTGCACGCAGTCATAACTGAAATAGTTTTAGTGAGGATCACAGACTCCTGGAATGCCCATATTACATATCCTAGTAGGCTGCACATGTGTTGGGTTCTGGAATAGATGCCATGGGTAGCATTTTGTAATACTGAGATGGGAGGAAGGCAATGTGATAAAGTTAAAATGATGGTGACAGGTCCTCTTTAGGACAGGATAGCATATGCTGTGACTTTAGGAATTCTATCCTGTTTATAAAATCAGCATTGTATTAGGAATACATTCTAGACATATTTTTGATAATGCCAGAAGAAATCCCCTTTTATTTAGTGAGTGCTGCCTTCCATCTGCCCATCACTTTCAACAACTTCCTGGATTCCGAGTGCTCTTTGTGTCTCTTTCTCTGCTGCTTGATGTGATGTAATCTCGATTTCTCAAGACTACATATCCCATAATGCATTGCTTCCAGCAAGCAATAATTATTTTACAATGTTCAGATGTTGAGTTGTAGTTCAGAAGGCAGACTCTGTGAGTGGGGTGATATAAGGAAGTTCATGTTGACAGGCTAAATTAAATTGTGTCAGTACATTGAGGAGGTACATCTTATATCCTATTTCAATTGAGGAAGTACATCCTACGGACATCTTCAATAAGTACGTTTACAAACTTCTAGATCAATGGTTATATAATGGATTGCTGGGATTTGTAGTCCTCCATAGCTGGTGCCTTTCTGCATTGGTGTATAATGTATTGCTGGGATTTGTAGTCCTCTATAGGTGGCGGTATTCTGCATTGCAGTATAATGTATTGCTGGGATTTGTAGTTCCTCTACAGCTTGGCATCAGTGGCAGAACTACCAGGGTTGCAGCTGTGACTGGGTCCTGGCGCTCCACCACTGTCCTAAAATCAATAGTCTGTATTATTTTAGAAAAACTGTCACATGACGCAAAGAAAAAAAGGTATCAATAAGTGGTATAGGCGAGTGCTTGAGGAAAAGTATTGGTACTTGTACTCGGTCTGGAAAAAAATGATATCGGTGTGTCCCTAGTTTTTGGCCATAGATACCCTTTAAATGGCTTTACAGCTATCTAACTAACTCTTTTCTCAAACCCAGATTTTCTGGCTGATACATTTAAAAACAAATGTGAGCCTAATTTTAACTCTTTCATTGACATGACATGTAGCATGCTTCCTTGTAGGTCAAAGGGATAAAATGTGTCTAAATCCAAGAACAAAAATATAATATATTGAAACTTACCAGTCCCCAGATGTTGTGGCTGCCTTAGTTTTCATTTTTTAAAGGAGAACTATGAGGTGAGTGCTTTTCACTCACCTCATAGTTCTAGCTACAGCTCGCGGTATACTGAGCCTAGGGTGACGGGAGGACGCTAGTTTGTGTCCTCCCGTTACCTTAAGGAGAACTATGGGGAAAAGCCCTGACCCCATAGTTCTCCTTTAAGGCTTGTTTTCCTTTATTTTCACCTAGTGATCCTACCAGTATCAAACTTTCTGTCCTAGTCTCACAACACTCAGTCAATGTTCTGCATCTACAGATGAGCACCATTGTAAGCCTAGGACAGGAAGTGTGTTTGGACTTTAAACCATGTGACTGTTGTGATACCCCTGAAAGTGTTATAGATTGCCCTAAGCCCTTTCACTCTCACCTTTGCTTAATCTGAAGGAAATTAAAAAAAAAGATGTAGAATAGAAATGGAATTCATATACTAAATACTATAATTACAGTGATGACCCCCATACAGTTATCAGAATGAAATATTTTTCAGCAGTGGTTCAGTTTAGTGAAGGTCAGTACATGTCCTGTAATCCAGCTGAGCAGATGCTATAATGCTGTTAATGGGGTTTCTACTGTATTTAGGGCCCTTTGGCACTTATTGTTTGGCCCCTGAAGATAGTACTTTATATTATGGTGCCAAACCAGTAAAGGAAAACATATTCTTAAGCCTGGCTTTAAGTAGATGGATTGGTTTACTGTTACCTTTTTTCTGTGCTGTCCATCCCTTTCCTCTTTTTATGTTTTGTTTCCTCTGATTTTTTTATAAAGCTGAAAAAAATATCAAATGTGGATAAAGTAATTTTAAGGGGACTGTAGGGAGCACAAATGCAAGTAAAGGAGCTGTAATATCAGTGATCTCTAGTATTCTAGTATGTAAAGTGTCCCCAGTCTCCTGAAGCAGGACCATAGTCCATAACAATGTCTGTGATTATCTCTTCTAGCATGCCTACAGTCTTTGGCCATCTCCTGCTGCAAGTCTGCAGTCTCTGACAGCTTTCTGTAACATAACAACCACTGAATATTATGTGCGGCCCTTTGGTGATGTCAGGGGCCGCACTTGGGGCCCACTTCCCCAAATAAGTTTACCACCGCTGATCTATAGGAAAGTCAGCTCCTAATAACAGCTATTACTTGTCACACCGTAGCTTTATCTAAAGAGAGACTCTCATAATGCATTCTAAATATGACATACTAATAGTCACATGGTATCATAACGCTCCATTCTTTTCTTAAGCTTGACAGATCTGTATGTCCCCAGCACAGAACTTGTCCGCCTGGTCCGTGTGTTTGGGCCTCAGTGGGAGCAGAAACGAATGATCCTCAAGCAGCTGCAAGAAGAACATGAAAGGTTCGAGGATTGAGGCTACAGGGGTTTGCATGAATTGAATTAGCCAAATTCCCACAGGTGGTATTACTGATGATCATATAGAATACTGGTGGCTGTGAGTACTTTTGCTCTAGTTCCGTACACTCAGGTGATCAGAGTAATACAAGGTCAACATGTTAATAAGCATCTACTGTGCATGTGACAACGTTCACGTGTATGCATGTCTTTGTGCGTCATGTCTAGGGCAGCCTATTCATTTCAATGGGCTGCCCTATGCATGATAGTCAGACAAAGAAGTCCGTGCATCATTTGTTTTAACATGCACTCTACCGAGATGCATGGTACTTTGTTACTATGCATTTCAGTGCAATTTCATGCATGTGAAAACGCATGGTGCAGCAAGCTGCGTTGGGGTGACGTTAACAATGAATGGCACCACAGCACGCCTCACAAAGTGAAACGTGTTTTGGCATGTTCTAGCAGGGCAAAGATGTGATGCTAATGGTACTACCACACTCTTTTGTAAACTTGGCCAATTAGAGAGGAAGCTGATTCACCTATCAAGTTTGTCTGAGAAAACCCACACAAAGGGAGAACATACAATCTTCATGCACATGGTCCATGATGGGATTTAAACCCAGGACCCAGAGCAGCAAGGCCTATTGCCTTGTATATAGAAACACTGGAGATCCTTGTATGAACGACCCAATGTAGATGAGATACCTGCTTTCATCTTTATTTTACTGGTTTATGCAGTGCCAATCTACATTGATTTACGAGGCACATAGATAGCAGGAGCTTACAATCTAATTTCAAACAACAAGATGGAAGAAAGTTAAACTATCAGCATGTTTTCATTGTGGAAGAAATTCAAACAAACACAAAGTTGGAAGGACTGCAGAACAATATTTAAAAATTGCCCTCTGCTGGAATTTAACTCAGGACCTCACAACTGGAAGGTCACATTGCTTAACACTGCATAACCTTTACATTGTGGGACTGAAGAGTCTGCAGAACTGGGGACTGGCTATTATGCAAAATAACCAACTTTAATATTCTGATCTTTTCGAAATATGAGGAGAAGCAGTCTGTTGTCATGTCATGTCCATAGGTTTGTGGACTCTTTTGATCAGTAAGCCTCATGTTATATTTTTATTTGGATTGTTGACAGACTTCAGAGGCTCCTCTCTTTGGCTCTTCAACGGGTACAACATTTGGAAACTCAGGTAAGTTAGAAAGATAAAGAAAACCTTGCAGTTTTCCTACTTGATCACCAGAAGTAGATCTTATAAAAAGTAAAGTAGATGAAAAGCAGGACATTTGACCATAACTGCCAGTCAGATGTTTGGTTTTCCGTCTCCAGCCTGCACTGTGAAAATAAGGAAAATCTTATTCTTTGGTGTTGATAACAGGGCCGGCCTTAGGCCTTTAGGCGCCCTGTGCGAGAAAGCTTTACAGCGCCCCTCAGTGGCCACACCCCTCATTGGCCACACCCTTTCGTGACCACACCCCCCAGTAGCAACACCCACTTTCACCAATATCCGCACCCTTTAAAGACTCCTATTTTGTTAAGCCGCAAAGAAACATATTAAAAGGTATGATAAAATAAAACTTTTATTCAAAGGTATTAAACTTGTCGGCACAATATAAGTATTCTTATCAAATAAAACAACGGAAGGCAAACAATAAATGTCAAACTAAAATAGAGTCTATAAAAATAAAGTGTCAGGTGGTCATGCCGATCCCTTTTTTCAAGTAAGTGCATCTAGAAAAGTAAAAATAGAAAACAGAACACAAAACCCAGACTACGTGTAAAATTAATGAATTACTATATGTCTGAATATACGTAACATGTATTCAGGCGCATAATAATGTGTTTGAGAATGTGCGTCGGCCATGTTGGCCACCGGCGTGTTCTGTGAATGCGTGCCACCATCTTGGAGGCGGGGAGCATGACGTTACATGACGCCATGCATGCGTGGCGTCAGGTGACGTCACACGCCGATATTGGCCCCACCATCTTGGTGTATACCTAGATATGCACCAAGATGGAGGCGCCCAACACGTGCGGTGTTATATGATGTCATGCGCCCTGCCTCCAGAACATGCCGCGGCTGAATCCAAAATAGCATAAAAATGTGTTTTGTTTGATGAAATGAATGTAACGTTTTTAGTTTTTGTTCATTTCATCTGAAATTAATTTTTAGTCTTTGCACTTGTCTAATAATATGCGTGTTTCACTGATATTTACCGAACCCCCGCTCTGCCACGCACAGAGCCGCTGCCATCCTGAAACTGACAGGATTACAGCGGCTCTAATCTCCTCCCCGCTCGACCATCCTGACAGCTGCGGGCGCGGCTTCCCTCCCCCTCACCTCTCGCCCATCCTGACAACAGGCAGCGCTCCCTCCTGCGCCCCCCTGCACCCACAGTTTCTCCTCGGAACCCCGCTTCCTCAGCCCATACAGGCAGCGGGGATCCGGGAACAGCGCTGAAGTGAGGGTGGGGGGTTGCGGATGAGAGAGCGCTGTCATGTCGGATGGCCAGTGGTGAGGAGAGTAGCTGCCCCGAGGACGAGTTGTGTCGGCCGCCTGGCGCCTCTGTGGCCATTTCTTAGAGCTCTGGGTGGGTTGAAATCTCCAGAGCTCCAGATCCCAGCTACAACTAGCAAAACCTGGAAGAATCTGAAAAACCAGGTTCTTCCTTACAAAATGGTTTACATTCTGGACCCTCTCAGCCCCTCTGGCTGAGAGTTCTGGGTGCCAAAGTTGGCAACTACACCGTGGCATTGCCAGGTACTGCCACAGTGGATTTTTTATGCTGAATGTTTAGTGAGAAGACCTCTGCCTGAGAGCTGCCAAACTTTAACAATATGAGCCTTACTCATTAGAGACTTTTTCCTTTTAGGAGCTAAAGATTTAGGTTCAGGGCCTTGCTCTTACTTCTACTTGGATCCTGGCCCCATGTGACAGCTCTGGGACAATCGCTGAACAGCAGTGCTGTTACATAAGAGGAAGGTGCGAGTCCTTGAACAGAATATTTTCCGTTCCCAGTGGCCGAACAGAGTGTTGGGGGATCAAAGGAAAGGTGAGTATATAATGCTGGAGAGGGGAGTGAACATATTTGCATCAAGGCATGCAAAATAAGGCGCTTCTATAAAACAAAAAAACAGCTGAGACATAGAAATAGAATTTCACCCAACATATTTATAATCAAATGTTCTCTTTATCAGCAGTTCTCTGTTGAGCATTGATCAGACGTGTGCAGCAATGTGAGCGTTAGACTTCAGATACACTGATTCACCTACTTGTTGTCTCATCAGTTACACAGAGACTCCGAATCACAACATTACAAGAACTGGGAGAAGCTCTTTGTCAGACTTATGGTGAGTATGTTACCCTTTTCTCCACCTTGCAGTTAGCGTGCTTTTAGTTGCTTTTCCTCTTTAACGTTAGTCTCCATGGTGCCTCTGATTTTATCCAAACCTGAGGATTTAGGGACTTATTTATCTATGTAAAAATGTTTGAATCTTGGGTGAAAGTTGTTGTTTTATTACTTCAAAACATAGTTTATATTTACAATCATCATAAAATTAATAATTAAAAGTAACTAATTGGAACAAGAGTAGTATATTGTATATGTCAATGCATGTAACTTAAAAGGCATCACTGGCTAGTGACCCCATAAATATGCCCATTCCCATCCATCTTATTAAATGTATTAATTAGATTGTAGAGCTGTTATCTATTGCTTCCTTGAAATGATGTATAACAGAAGGGAAGTAATAAAATAGACAGAGTATAGAACATATGGAAGAATGAGGGGATGAAGGTTGGTGCAACTAACTGAGGTATAGAAATGAATGTCACACAATGTGGCGTCATCCTTTGTGGATTTGGTGACTTACATGTAACTAGACTGAGCATGTGTGGTATGAATTTTAAGTAGGTCATACAGCATATCTTGTAAGTATGGTACTTTGGTTTTAATGGTGAGGTGTTTTGCAAGCCATTTCTGTCAGCTTGGGGGTAATTAATAGCATAAGAAAAAGTCTAATCACTGAGAATCAACCTTAATCAACTCAGAGTATGGTGCAGGGGCGGATCCAGAGTCTATTCTCGGGAGGGGCACTGCCAGAAAATAAAGTTTTGCTTTTTTTAAAAATTTTATTTACCGTATCATACAGTCCTAACCTTGTTTAAAACAGTGACACATTTATCATTCCATATTACAGATTTTTACATGACAGAGAGACAGAATATGTTTAACCACAAATAACTTTATTATCACAAAGATCATAAGCAGTTTGTATTCTTATAACAGAAGTGCTATTCGAGCATAGCGAGGAAGCCGACTGCGCATTTTGCATAGCTCCCGCAACGCTAATAGTGTATCTTCTCAGAAGCTACACACAGCGCACGCTGGTTTAAGTAGTAACCAGCACACTCTATATGCAGCTTCTGACAGCGTGGGAGACGGGAGGCCGCACTTGTCAGTGGATCCAGGGATCAGGTGAGTATTAGAGAAAAAAAAAAGTTTTATTTTATGTTCCCAAGAATATGTAGGGCCCATTCACACTGTAATCGGCCGGTACGTACAGCTCCGCGCTGTGTGCACAGCCGTATCGGGCAGTTCCCGGGAAGGACAGGTGCTGCGTGTGATTAGTACACAGCCCCTGTCCTTCACTATGGGAGTACATGGCCGTACGCCCCCCTACGCTCACCCGCCCTGCACCTCCGTACGAGCATACGAGTACGCTCACCTGCACCGATGTGCAGGACAGGTGAGCGCAGGGTGGCTTACGGCCGTGTAGTCCTATAGAGAAGAACAGGGGCTGTGTAGTAATCATACGCAGCACATGTCCTTCCTGGGAGCTGCCCCATACGGCCATGCACGCAGCACAGAGCTGTACGTGCCAGCCGATTCCAGTGTGAATGAGCCCTTTCAAAAACTGGTCACCTTACCCTGGTGGTCAGTGGGGGCTCTGGTTGGTAGTGGAGGCTCTCCTGTGGCCGCACCAGCTAGTTTGCCTGCAGCAGATGCTGGAGGCCCCCTCACCAAACTCCCTCCCCACTAAATGAAGCCCCTGGCCGCAGGTGCAGTGGCCCCCTCCCTCCGCCGTTTCTCTGCCACCTGCACCGCTACAGATGCGGCTCTCTAACATGCCTGATTAGAGGGCCGCGTCTGCCTGATCCAGCCAGCCCAGATCACATACTGAGTCCCCCAATCCCCCCTTTCCCCCCCAAGCCAGTCATTACCCACAGACTCCCCCAACCTCACCTAACATATGCAGGCTGCAGCACCTCTTCATCTGTGTCCTTGGCGGCCAGTGGAGGGGTCACAGGAGAGGGTGCCTGCAGAGACGGGTATCGGCTCCGCCTCCGCCAGGCTATCGGTCATTGCCAATTACCTGTTTCATTCAGAAGATCCCCGCACACGCACAGCCGCCGGTACATACAGCTGGCCCTCTGCAGTTCATTGTACAATGTTTTTTTACAATGAACGCAAGTAAAGTCTGTGACACAAAGGGAAAGCTGTATGTAGTTGTGTCAGATGATGCCACCGTGATTTGGATCATATGGCATCGGTTAAATCAAACAGCTCCAGATGTAAATGCAATAATAATCGTTGTCAGATGTTGAAGTGTTAATGACATTGAGCAGGACTGAGACTTTCTAATAATGTGTATTCCAATGGTAATAATCAAGATTTCAATCAGTAAACAACTGAAGTGGGGTGTAAATCAGCAGAATGCAGTTAATCCTTAGTTGTCCAGAATGTGAACACTGCTTCAATAAGCAAGTCCCAGCAGGTGTTGGAGTGCAGTGTCAAAATTGAGTGTGTGATTGCATGGTTTTAGAGGAACAAAACATAGTAAGTACATCTAAATCTGCTAATACATCTAACACTCCAATACTATGTACTACTCCAATGTAATACTCAATGTATGTAATTCTAGTATTAGTCAACAGGTTGACAATGCTGCTGTCCAAGGGTGGAAACTAAAAGATTTGCTTTTCTTTAATCCTCCTGGAGTTCACCTTTGACACCTCTTGTGTTTGGGCCATTCTTTAGTTACTAACTAATTCAATATGAGCTAAAGAACAGGAAGGCTTCATTCTACAATAATGGTTTACTCATGTTTTTACTTATTTCCACAGCGTATGGGACCAGATATAACCTCGCCTGAAATGCCGCCTGAATTGGATATGAAAAGGTGACACGAGGCATTGATTCCCAGTCATTGCATACATTGGATTATCTATAGTATAGACTATATAGACTCAGACCTTTCACTTATACAGTACAGTATACCTGTCAGTTTTTAAGTCCATATGCTGCAAAGGGAATATAAACATCATCATGTTTTCACCCAGGGATGGAGGATTCTGTGTATTTTAAAGTGTAAAGTTTAAAATGATCAAATTCTTGTTTTCACACTGTCATGAGAACACTAAAAGGATAACTTGCCATTATATAAAAATTCATCCATTGCCTCACTGACTAGGGTCACTGTACAGAAGCTTCATGACCATCATGCTGACCAGTGTCATTGTATATAAGCTGTCGCCAACTGTCACCATATAATATCTGTCATATTGACTAGTGAAGCTGTATAATATCGGTCACAATTTGGGCCCATTCACACATGATCACAATGCACCACAGCGCACGTGTTTTCATGTGTTAAAGCACATTGTGTTAGGCATCACATTAAAAATGAATAGGTTGTAATGTACCTCAACCCATGGAAATGTAGGGCATGCACAAGTGTGCTCTAGTGGTATATTGGTGTGCAAAAAATATTGGCTGTATATATATATATATACACATATACACACGCACGCATAATCGCTCACTGTCCGTTATGCTGAACAATGTATCTGTATGTAACCTTTTACCAACTGGGACAAGTATTCCTCTTTAGTAACAGATGACCCCTGTAGGTGAATTGCATGTTCTTATGACATGTATGTTTAATAAAGTGCATGAAAACATAAAGGAGCCACCCAGTCTGATTTTGTTTCTTTTTATGACTCTTATACTGTTTTCTACTGACAAATTACATTGTATTTTTTTTTATCAGGAAATAAAGTGTAACAATACTACCCTGATGTATTACAGAGTCTCTACTGCCACAGAAGTTTCAACTGCAGAGAGCAGCAGAAAAAAAAAACAGTATTTGTTACAAGGAATGCTAAAGGCCTGAAGTACTTTACTATAATATAGTTATGTCAATGGGTAATAAATGAACAATATAGACCAAAGCTGGTGTGTCTTGATATTTAGAATTGGAATGGACTGCCAACATATATATCACTGGGTCTAAAAATAAGGTATGTAATGAAAATGGAAAGTTTTAATTAATAATTTACTGTGTGAGCTATTGTAGAGGAGAAGGAAGTACTAAGGTGGGCCAGTAAGACCAAAGGGGCCCTTTCACACAGGCAGCATCTGTTTCGATCAGTAGGGAATCCATGCACAGATGATTGGAGCAGTATGGAATGAATGTCACTCGTGTGACATCCATGTCCGTTCAGTTTTTACCTATGTCTTGCAATGAAGAAAAAACTGAACCAAATGGACCCATGTTAGGCCTATGGGCATTCGGAAGTAAGCAAGCATGTCCATTTACATCTGGTCTGTCACATTCAGGTCTGCCAAAACAAAACTTTTCAGTTGTTTTTTTTTGGACCTCTACGGACAGATTTCTGTATTGAATTTCTGTAAGTTCGATTTCATTCCTAATAGCCATATTGATCTAGAAGTTAGTTATTGAAGATTCTCATAGGATTCCACTTCCTTGTGTCACCACTCTAACTAACCCAGGCGTCTGAACTACAACTCAGTGTCTGAACTTCCCACAATGTAACATCATCATTGCTTCCTGGAAGCAATGCATGATGGGGTATGTAGTCTTGGGAAATCAAAGTGTATCACATCAAGCAGCAGGGAAAGTGACACACAGCACACTGGGAATACAGGAAGTTGTTGAAAGTGATGGACAGACAGAAGGCAGTGGTCACTACATAAAAGGGATTTCATGTAAGCTTTGATTGTATTATCAAAAACAACTCCAGTGTGTATTCCTATTACAATGCTGATGTTATAACAGGATAGTATATGCTGGGACTTTACACCTCCTTTAAAAACATTGCCGGCAGGTAGGCATTTATTTATTCTGTATGTCTCTTCTGCCATAAAAGCTGCTCTTCTACCTTCCAGCAATGCTAATGAATGTACACCAAGCCATGCATGTGCAGCTCAGAGTACATTCTCAGCACGCCTTGGTGTCGGGATGACTCAATTCCTGTGTCCATGCATGAAACTTACATCATCCCAGATGGCTGAGGATGCCAAACATAGAGGAAGCCTAGGTGAACATGTCAGCAGGGGTGATGAGGTGGCAAAGAAGATGGCAGCCATCACGGCGCTGGAGAATCTCTTTGTCAGGGATGTCTGCCATAAGGCCTCGTTCACACCTGAACGTTTTGTAGCGCGTTCTACGCTCGACGAACGCTCTACAAAATGCTCAAACATCTAAATCCCATTGTATTCAATGGGTCTGGTTCACACCTTGGCGTATTTCAGCCCGTCCCTAACGTGCTACAAAACGGCCCACGCCTGAAAAGGTACATGTACTACTTTGGGCCGTATTTGTTGCGCGTTTCCATTGGGATACAGCCAAGTAGCCCTCGGAAACGCGCGTTTGTCGCGCGACAGACGCGCATATGCAATACGCCTAGGTGTGAACCAGGCCTAAGGTTAAATTACGTTGTGCATGCTTTCACAAATGACTAAAGCCCACCCACCACCATGATGATGCTTTAGTTCTGTTTTAGAACAAGTCTTTCACTTTTCTTTGCATGTGCACAGGGAAAGCACATGTTTGGTTTAACACTACAGTAAGAGGACAGGACCAAACACACCCAAGACAGCTGCAGACCCTAGATTTAATGGGGCCATTTATCTTGTTGTCATTAATATGTCATCATTGGATACTAAAGTTTGGGGACCAAAACAAGAGCAGTAAAGAGTACCACATCCCCTTAGGTGATTACTCAAAAAAAGATGAGGGCCTAGATCTATGAAGTAGATACTGGCATTGCACGCTGTTATTTGGTCTATGACCTCAATAGGTACCTTGATACTCCATCATTAATTCGGCCAACTTAAACTTTCCCCGGATTGTATCATTTTAGCTGTTAAATGCATAACGTTACATTTATTCATGTTGGACCTCACTTGCTACATAGCAATCCAATTATCTACTGTAGGGCCGGTCAAATCCCAGGAGCTAGGTCACCAATGCTCCTTAAAAGTTACAGATGGTTTCTAACGTTTGAGGTTTTCTCTAGTTGTCATTGTAACTGGCTCCTAAAAAAAAGATCCCGCTGGCTCTCCTGGAATAGTCAGACTGGCTCCTGAATTCCATATTAATTTTGTCCACCACGATCCAGTATCTTGGTCAGCTTTTCTAGTGGTATCATCTTCCATGGATTGTGTCACAGAAAGGGATTCTTTGTTGTTCAGATGCAGAGCTGTTTTACTGCTAGGAATGTACACTTAGTTTGTACCTGGAACGGCACGGCATCCATGGAAAGAAATTGAATTGTTGTGCTAGGTGTATGTTTGAGACATTGAGGGGAGGCTCCGCTGGAAGAATATTTTGGCAGGAGGCTGTGAAGGCAGGCCTCAACCATCAGGTTTTGGTACATAAGGAACTAGGATGGGATAGAGTGGGTTAAAGCTCTTAAGGGGAAGGTGAAGGTTAAAAGGATAGCTGTACTTTCTCTGAGAATACAGTTATCTTCTAGATACTTCCTTTTAGGTAGCAAAGGCACAATGTTAGTTAAAGCATATCTAAACCCAAAAATGTAATACTGTATATTGCAGCTTACCAGTCCTTATACACTGAGTGGCCAGATCATTATGACCACCTGACATTTGTAGGCAAATTTATATTGAGCATTTGTGGGACGAAGTTGAAAGAGCCATCAGGCAGCTGGTTCCACAACCATCAAATCTCACAGAACTGCACAGATCTCCCCCCCCCTGTATTTCTTGAAAGATAAACATGTATTTTCTGTATATGTTAAAATATACTGAGTGTAAAAAATGAAATGCAACCACCACATCTGGGACTGGGAAGCTGCAAAATATATCACATTGTATTCTTATGTTTAGATTTTGAGGTATTTAAAAGCTGAACTCCAGGAATGATCTTTTAAAGGAAACGTACATTTGTCCAGCTTGGCTCAAAGCAAATACTCTTATCTGATATCCGGAGGGCCAATGGGGATGCTGAAAGTGGCTGTAGTAATCAGCGATACATACAGTGATAGCCGTGATCTTCCATCTCCAGTGCCTTCCCCTCTGCACACTGATCGCAGGGAGTCGCTTGATCTGCACTGCCTCCATTTAATGAAAACCTTGTCATTTCTCCAATGAATACAAGATGTTCTGTGATTGGATGAAGTGGACATCTACCATTCCTCTCCACCTTGTCCAATCAGAGAATAAGTTCTCAGAATGGTGGTGTTGCAGAGCAAGCGAACGACTCATTAAGTCTCTTTTAAAGGTAGTAAAGGAGCCTACCGTTCATTAAAAATAGATTTTCTTTCTGTGTGTTTGAGATGTTTGCTGAATTATTATGAATTATGAGGAAAACCCACATTTCTAAAAACAAATTTGTTTAATTTCCGTCAACTCTCACAATGGAATAATCACATAATCAACTGCACAAACACACTGCCCCCCCCCCCCTTCCTTCCCCAATAAACAGAGAGGCTGCATTCAGTGACTACATCGAGCAAAAGTCTTTTCCAGCAGTGAGGAAACACTTAACACTGAATGGTGGCCTAGATGGAAGCCCACGGCTTCGGTGATTTGCACAGCAAACAAAGATAGAACATTCAGGAGTCCAGTAGAGTCATCCTGGTGTAGGTCTCGTAATACTTAATATGATGGTTCCCTGCATGGATGGGAAAAACAATCTGTTATTTTATTTGGACAAAAAATTGGAAACTCTAGCCAAAACTTTACATTGTTTATTGTCTTTAGTTAAAGGAGAGGTATTGGGAGAGTAAAATATACGCTTCTCAAGCCAGCATAGGACACTGCAGCTGTCAAACACCGGCTCTATACCAAGAGCTGAGTGATCGTGCTCACGGTCTTCAACCTGCAGAGAGCGGTGACTGACAGTCATTTCTTCCCGCAGGGATTCCCCCCGTCTCATCTCTGTTTCTCCAGCTCTCATTGGAGGGTCAGACACGGGAGGGGGCAGCACAGCTGGTTCTGTCTTTGGAGAGGCGGAGCCAGCTGTCAATCAGGCATCTGGGTGACAATATTGTTGGGATCCTTCCCAGCTGCAGCATGGCTCTGCACTGTCAGCATATAGCGGGCTTCTGACCGCTATAGGCGGAGTTTGGGTCACAGGAGTACATTAGTAAATGTTCACCTGTGACCCAAAAGAGAAGTAATGCCAAAAAAGGTTTGACTTTAGTTCTCTTTTAAAGATAGAATGGAAACGATTAGGACTTCTATTAGGTTTTTATTGCTGTCTGGGTCACCTTTGGGAGACTCCCCGCTCTGACAGGGGCTGGAGGTGAGGGGAATCTCTCCATCAGCAACAAAGACAGTTGGGAAAATAAACCCTTTGAGTAGAGAAAGGAAAATTAGAGCCCATAGTGATTATATTTTTTAGTGCATAGAGATATTCCTGACGTTTGCTGTGTTTCAAACATACCAATATTGAATCCACATTATTCAATCAGCATTAACCAAAATGCGCCTAGATCATAATTATTACGTGACACTATTAACAGACAGCATGATGCCACATCTTACATCCTACACTTTCTTATTTGTGGCATCTTTGATACTTTTCTCATAAAGAGTATACTTTAAAGTTCCCCCAAAGCTGATATTTATAGAAGTATCAGGAGAGTAAAATGTACTCTTCCCAATAGTTTGAGCTGGCATGCGACACTGCAGGTGTCATACTCCGGCTCTATAGATTGAGTGCTGAGTGATTACAAAACGCTGATAGCTCAGCTTACGGTTTCTCCCACAGACAGTGGTGACTGCAGGGGGTGGGCACAACGGCTCTGGCTGTAGAGAAGAAGAGCCAGCTGTCAATCAAGCACCGTGGTGGATCCCGACAAAACAGTCCGGATCTTTCTCAGCTGCAGCGCGCCTCAGTGCTGTCAGCATATAGCAGATATTAGCTTGCTCTATGCTGAGTTTGGGTCACAGGAGTACTTTAGTACATTTACTCCGAGACACAAAAGAGAATTATAGCCAAAAAAAAGTTTTAAAGGAGACCCCCATCTAAAGATATAAAAACACAAAACGCTGCAAAGCTGATAGGTCTAAGTGAGAGACGGCGTCACGTTAGCTGATGTTACCTGCAGAATGTTATAAGTGCAGCACAGCTCAGTATGGCTTCTAAAGCATAGAACAGCAGAAGAACACAGCTGAGCACGGTCTCAAGCCGCAGTGCATACGTCTGAAGAAACAGGAAATACAGGGCAAGCAATCCGGCTGGAATGATTAGACCCACACTGACCACAAGAGGGAGCTTCCGCTCACACTGGTTCCCACGACATCCTGGCAAACAAAAAATGAAGAGAAATGAAATCATCATCTGCTTAAATATTTGAAGAAAAACAAAAATAATATCCAACACCATGTGAAGTGCCCCTGCCATGTATGTAGACTAGGGATGTTCAGATACCAGTGCCCATACTTGGCATTTTTTATATATATATATAGATAGATAGATAGATAGATAGATAGATAGATAGATAGAGAGAGAGATATGTTTAAAAAAAATCATACATTAAAACAGAGGTGTACAAATCCCAGGAGCTCCGTGTGCTCCTTACAAATCACAGCTGCCTCCTAACTTTTGAATTTTTCTCTAGTGTAGTCTTGGAGCTCAATGTATCTGTACATGTACTTGTACCGAGTAGACCATACAGTGTTTTTTTTGCCCTTCAGTCCTGCAGTTCAGGCAACTTTTGTTGAAGAAGCCAGATGAAACCCAATCAACTGAAGTCATTGTTTCGGTATTCTGATAGCTACAGGCACTGACTATCAGAACACAATAACCCGGAAGGGGAGATTCGTCCACCGCACAGGCTGAATGAAAGAAGTCTAAGTGCATAGACAGCTAAACTTTTAGGTCAATTGTTTAACTCATCCTGCCACATACTTACGATCCCATTTCATGAATAGTTTTAGTTACAGCCAGCATGCTTTATAACCAGCGGCTGAATTAAAACTAACAGCACAACAGCTCCATTGGAACATATATCATTTTTCACTGAAAGCCCAATGATAGAGCTCCAACTGACAGAAGAAGAAAGTACAACCACTGTGTGAAAAAAAAGTGGCAGCATTGCATTAATATAGGCAAAAATAGATCTGCGATGTATATTCTTTACTAAGTTATAAAGAGAAACATTTTATTGACACATTCTGATAGAATTATGTACATTAAACTGATCACATCCACAAATAGATTTATAAAAACTTGAAGAATATGGATTGACTTTAGAACCACCGTGCGACACTGGAGGTGTCACATGCCCGCTCCATAGATCGAGATTTGTGATCGCTCAGCTCTTGATGTAAAGACCTGGCATGCGACACCTCCAGTGGTACACGCTGGTTCTAAGTAGGGATGCACCGATGCCGATACCGAGTATTTGGTACTCGCCCAAATGCTCCGATCCATAGCACGAGTACTTCCTGTATCAGGAAGCCGGGCAGGGCATCATTACACGCTGCCCGGTTTCCTGATTGGCCAGGAAACGGCTCCATGCTCTCTCGTCACTTTGTGATGAGAGAGCATGGAGCCGACTTCCCGGCCAATCAGGAAGCTGGGTAGCGTGCAATGACGCGCTGCCCGGCTTCCCGATTGGTCAGGAAGCTAGCAAATACGGAAGTCGGGCGCCGTGTAATGATGCAGCGTCTGGCATTCTGATTGGCCGGGAAGCCGGCGACATGCTCCCTCGTCATCTCATGAATCATAATATTAAGAAAGTGACCTTAAAGCATTAGTTTGTATTGCTTTAGAAAAAATGTGACCTGTCCCTTTAAGAAAAAGTATCTGCGAGTACTTGATCAAAAGTATCGGTACTCGTACTCGGTCTTAAAAAAGTGGTATCGGTGCATCCCTAGTTCTGTTATTGGGAAGAGTACATTTACTCTCCCAATACTTCTCCTTTAAAGTCAATCTATATTGTTCAAGGCTTCTCCCTGCAGGGATTCCCCCATCCCCTCACTTTGTTCCTCCTGCGTTTATCTGAGGGACAGACAGGGGAGGGGTGGGCACAGCCGGTTCTGGCTCTAGAGAGGAAGAGCCAGCTGTCAATCAGGCAGCGGGTGGATCCCGACAATATTGCTGGGATTCGTCCTGGCTGCAACGCGGCTCTGTGCTGTCAGCATATAGCGGGCAGTAGCCCTATATACAATACATCAGTAAATAAACTCCTGTGACCCAAAACAGAACTAGAGCAAAAAAAAAAGGTTTGGCTTTAGTTCTCTTTTTTGGTGTCATCAGTGTAGGTTCCTCTTTGTGAGAGTACAATGAATTAATAATAACTTACACGGCTCACCGGGTACAATGTCCTGGACGGATCCAGGTCACCGTTTTCAGCTATACAATTACATTTTAATGAATGTCTGGTTGGGAAAATCATTAATTATTTCTAATGTACAATTCTGCAGCTTCCCTGGTGACCTTCCCTATCCAACATCAAATACACACGAATCATCAAGGATGCCTTATATCTGAACGTTTCCTATAAACACTGGTCTAGCGATAGGGACTCTCTAAAAGGAGAACTATGAGGCGAGTGAAAATCATTCATCCTCATAGTTTGAGCCGACGTGTGACAATGAAACGGTCACAGGTCGGCTCTATAGATCGGGGAGTGAACACATATCGTCGCTCGCTCACTTCCCGATCATCTCCCTGCAGAGAGCGGTGACGGTCGGTCACCACTCCCTGCAGAGATTCCCCCCCACCCCGCTCCAATCCTCCAGCGATGAGTGGAGGAACGGATGGGGGAGGGGGCGGGTGATAAGCCCATGGCAACCAATCAGCTTCTCTCTTCAGTTTATTAGGCGAAGCTTTGAAAATGAAAGAGAGAAGATGATTTGTTGCTGTGGTCAACTGCTCCAGGTTTGATAAATCCCCCTCTATGTATGTTCATATGATCATTGTAAGACATACTACATGGAAGCACACGTGGAAAGGTTTAAAGGTCTCCAATAAGGTATCTGCAGAAGGAAAATATATAGTTTGAAACACTCCTAATGGTTCAGCTACTCACCAAGAAATAATCGCGTGACTTCAATTCCAAGATAGAGAAAAAGGATCACCACTTCCAGTACGAGGTTAGAGGTGGGGTAAGGTAATATAAGTCCTGGGTGGAAAAAGAAGAGCCAATTGTCAACTCCATCAAACCTTGCTGTATTTGTTACCTGCTTTTTATCACTGAACTATTACCCAAGTGTCAGGGAAGCAGAATGAGCGCAAAAAAACATATCCAGAGTCCAGAACTGTATTTTATTAATACACAGGTGTCAAAGGGGTGATGAAAGACCGTTAAAGGGACACTAAACTCCGGAGTTAAAAAGGAGAACTATGAGGCGAGTGCTTTTCACTCATCCTCATAGTTTTAGCCGACCTGTGACAGTGAGACTGTCACAGGTCGGCTCAGTAGATCGGGAGGTGAGCGAACACATACCGGCGTTCGCTCACTTCTCGATCCTGTCACGGCTCTCTGCCGTGACAGGGGAGGGGCTGGATTCCCCCCTCCGATCCTCCAGCGCTGACTGGCGGAACGGACGGGGGAGGGGGCGGATACAGCTGACTCTGCCTCTAGATAGGCAGAGCCAGCTGTCACTCACACAGCTGGGCAGATCCTGACATAATTGTCGGGATCCGCTTCAGCTGCGGCGTCTCAGTATACCGCCATATACTGAGCTTAGGGTGACGGGAGGAACGGTAGTTTGTGTCCTCCCGTTACCCTAAGGAGAACTATGGGGAAAAACACTGACCCCATAGTTCTCTTTTAAATCTTAAAACTGCATTCAAGTTCCTTAAATAGTAACAAAAAATATATCCTATTTGTGTATCACTGTAGACCCTCAAATCATCTCTGAATTGGTGCTGACACTGTCCTATTCTCAAAGCTTAATTCAGGGGGAGCCAAACTCCAGCCCTCCAGCTGTGGTTGAACTACAAATCCCATGAAGCATTGCAAGATTCTCTCAGACATGACTCCCGGAGAGAGATGCATTGTGGGATTTGTAGTTTCACCACAGCTGGAGGGCCGGAGTTTGGCTACCCCCGGCTTTACTGAACAAACTGAAAAGAGAAGTTGATTGGTTGCTATGGACAACTGCTTCAGATTCTGTCTGCTCCAGTTTTGATAAATTCCTTTTTTTCTTAAATCCTTTCTGGGTCAAAGGAATATATTTACTAATGTCCTCCTGTGACCCAAACTCGGATCCTGACAATATTGTTGGGATCCCCCCAATGCCTGATTGACAGCTAGCTCTGCCTCTCTAGAACCAGATCCACCTGTGCCTGCCCCTCCTGTCTGTCCTTCCAATGAGTGCTGGAGATACACAGAGGGGAGGGGGGAATCCCCGTGGGGTGCAGTGAGCTGAGCGATCAGTGATTCATGGCCGCTCAGCTCTCGATCTAAAGAGCCGGCATGTGACACTTGCAGTGTCTCTCGCCAATCCAATGGGAAGAATTCATTTTACACTCCCAATACTTCTCCTTTAAGTATGAAAAGCACAAACTACCTGAGAGCAGCACAATAAGTGCCAAAGACCTCTATGTGCCCCTTGCAGGTGGCAGATTGGGCACCCAGGGACTACAACAAAGCAAACCGTTTCAGCAGTTTGAGCATCACAAGAATAAACTGAATGTGACATCTACTCACCTTTATATATAAATATGAGCGCTTCGATCAGGAAGTAGGAGGCACAGTACCATCCATTGAGGAAGAAGAGCACTTCGAGAGGAGTGGAGGACAGCTAATCTTGTAAAGGAAATCTCATTACAATGCTGAGCATTTAAGAGTGATTACATAAGCTGCCACAGCTATGAAGAACAGACCAAATGCTGGAAATGTTATACTGTATGTATATCAACTACAATCAATGATCAGCCAGGTCTGACTCAACACAGTAAGGGCCCATTCACATGTATAGCAGTGACCTGCGTGGGTGGATGTGTCCTTGTTCCTGCAGCCCCTGGAATATTCCCGTCACCCCCAGCAGTCCATCCAGGAGCTAACATCCGCGGGGGATCGCAGCCTCTCTTATTACATGTGAATGGCCACGAATGTCTGTGGGAGCATCCACAACGTGTCATAGTATACAAATATACTCAGCATACTTACACAGTATGGGGAAAACTCCGCACAGACAACCTTTGTATGTAGTTTGCTTCCTCTTTAAAAGAGAACTATGGCCCTAAACTTTTTGTTGGCCATAGTTCTCTTTAGGGTCACAGGAGGACACTTACTAATGTCCTCCTGTGACCAAAAACTCAGCAAATAGCGGCTATTGCCAACTATATGCTGGAAGCGCGGCCAGGACAATATTTTCAGGATCCACCTGGCTGCCTGATTGACAGCTGGCTCTGCCTCTCTAGAACCAGAGCTAGCTGTGCCCGCCCCGCCCCCCATCTGTCCCTCCAGTTAGTGCTGAAGGATCGGAGAGGGGAGGAGGGAATCACTGCAGGGAGCCGTGACTGACAGTCATTACTCTCTGCAGGGAGATGATCGGAAAGTGAGTGAGCGACGGTATTTGATCACTGACTTCCCGATCTATAGAGCCGACGTATGACAGCTTCGGCTCTAATTATGGGGATGAGTGTATTTCGCTCTCCCCATAGTTCTCCTTTAAGAGGATTTTGCATTCTCATTTATTTATATGGCAATGCAAAATCTGCTTCAAGCCGACAAAAGCCCAATGACGCAGGCCAGAAGTGGGGGATCCCCTTACTTTAAGAGATTTCCTCTAACTTCCTGTTGTGTCTCTGGGACAGGAAGTGAAATTTCCAAAATTAATGCACACAGCAAAAAATAAACTGACATGGGTTCCTTGTTCTATCCAAAACTAAAAAGAAATTTCTATATACGCACTTTAATTTTCCATGTACCACATACCCGGGTGTAGCATGGCTGTGTCCATCAACTCCATACTTACTGCTATGCTGTGTCCCTCATTCCTATATCATAAACCTAGAAGGTAGCCCCTCCCTCTGTCACAGGTCCCCTACATAGGAATCATCCTGCACAAAATATCTAAAGCTGGAAATCCACACAATAGGTTTGTCTGGCTACTTGCTGGGATTTGCAGTTCCCCATCTCCCATAGCTGACCCCAGCCTGCAAATCCACACAATAGGTTTGTCTGGCTACATGCTGGGATTTGTAGTTCCCCACCTCCCATAGCGGTCCCCAGCCTGCAAATCCACACAATGGGTTTGTCTGGCTACATGCTGGGATTTGTAGTTCCCCACCTCCCATAGCGGTCCCCAGCCTGCAAATCCACACAATGGGTTTGTCTGGCTACATGCTGGGATTTGTAGTTCCCCACCTCCCATAGCGGTCCCCAGCCTGCAAATCCACACAATGGGTTTGTCTGGCTACATGCTGGGATTTGTAGTTCCCCACCTCCCATAGCGGTCCCCAGCCTGCAAATCCACACAATGGGTTTGTCTGGCTACATGCTGGGATTTGTAGTTCCCCACCTCCCATAGCGGTCCCCAGCCTGCAAATCCACACAATGGGTTTGTCTGGCTACATGCTGGGATTTGTAGTTCCCCACCTCCCATAGCGGTCCCCAGCCTGCAAATCCACACAATGGGTTTGTCTGGCTACATGCTGGGATTTGTAGTTCCCCACCTCCCATAGCGGTCCCCAGCCTGCAAATCCACACAATGGGTTTGTCTGGCTACATGCTGGGATTTGTAGTTCCCCACCTCCCATAGCGGTCCCCAGCCTGCAAATCCACACAATGGGTTTGTCTGGCTACATGCTGGGATTTGTAGTTCCCCACCTCCCATAGCGGTCCCCAGCCTGCAAATCCACACAATGGGTTTGTCTGGCTACATGCTGGGATTTGTAGTTCCCCACCTCCCATAGCGGTCCCCAGCCTGCAAATCCACACAATGGGTTTGTCTGGCTACATGCTGGGATTTGTAGTTCCCCACCTCCCATAGCGGTCCCCAGCCTGCAAATCCACACAATGGGTTTGTCTGGCTACATGCTGGGATTTGTAGTTCTCCACCTCCCATAGGTGCCCCCTATACACGTGTCATCCGGTGTCACCAACTGCTCCTTCATCTCGGCACAAAGGATACAACTCCGCGTCTTCTCCCTGCAGGGGGGGGGACACAGATCACACCTGTTACATGCCGGAGATCGCACATACATACCAACACCCCGCTAACCCCGATATGCCGGCTACCGCGGGAGTCTCACTTCACCAGCCGAAATATGGAAATAAACATCATCCATTGGTGGCTTTGTTTTATTTCTCACCTTTAGACGCCATCTTGCTGCTCTAAGGACGCGTATCACGTCACTTCCTGGATACCGCTGACAGCTCTGTAGTGATGGGCGGGGCGGGGACTCAGTGTAGAGTGTGCGGAGCTCTCTGTGCCCGGTTCAGGGTTCCTTGTGGCACCCACACATTGGTATAGAAGGTCTGTGGGACTAGCTGATGGTTCAGCTGTAAAACCTTAAAGACTGACAATCAGGGATCTGATGATGAATGTTTTCACCCAAGATTCACACATTGTTTGCCTTAGATAAAGTTGATAAAATGTTTGAATCTTAAAGTGACACTAAACTCAGGAATTCAATGTTAAACATACATTCAAGTCCCTACAAGTGTTATTAAAGCCTCCTTTCTTTTTTTTATTTATTTTTTATTCCATAGACACACACAGCGCTGTGGCAGGCAACGCACTTCTCTCCGCCTAAAAGCTTTTTAATAGCAGAAGGAGCCCACGGCTCCTTTGCCATTAGTATCCTCCCCCGCAACCAGGAAGTTTGGGGGAATGGAGGATTGCTTCGGGACCAGCGTCACTGACAGGTAAGAATGGGGGAGAAAAGGGTACTGGGTGTTTTTTACCCTAATGCAAAGAATGCATTAAGGTAAAAAAAACCTCCCTCGTCATGAGGTGACGAGGGAGCATGAAGCCTGAGTCGTTACACGGCACCCGGCTTCCTGATTGGCCAGATTCCCAACCAATCAGGAAACCGGGCAGCGAGTAATTACACGCTGCCCGGCTTCCTGATTGGCTCCATGCTTTCTCGTCACAAGGGAGCATGAAGCCGGCTTCCCGGCCAATCAGGAAGCCGGGCAGCGTATGATGACTCACTGCCCGGCTTCCTGATACCGGAAGTATTGGAGCATTTGGGTATCAGGGGATTTGGGCCCAAATCGCCCAAATACTCGGTACCGATAACAATACTACTGTAGTATCGGTGCAACCCTAACAAAAACCATAGGTGGGAATAGACCTTAAAGTGAATCTCTAGGCAAAACCTTTTGCTGACTTTGCTTCCCCTCTATTCACGCTGGTCACCATTGTTACCAGTAAGATAGTATATATGTATTAAGCATCAGAGATTGTTGATCAGGGAATATCCAATTGCCTTATGGGATCAGGAAGGATTTTTTTCCCCGTTTTTTTTTTTGCCTTCCTCTGGATCAGCAGTGGGTAATTGTGGGCATGGCGTTCTGTTTAGGCTTTTTTTTTTTTTTCATATCTCTTTCTGATCTCGATGGACTTGTATCTTTTTTCAACCTGACTATGTAACTATGTAAGGGGAAATTCAAAATGTTAGAGTTGTCACAAAAACAAGAGATACGGAGAAATCTGAAATCCCGGGGACAACTGTCTAAGATGTGAATTCCCCTCACTTTGGGATCACAATCAGATGTATGTACCGCACTCCAGATATTTTACAAAGAACAAGAATCAGTCCACAATTCCCAAATACAGTAAACTCCCAGTTATATGCCAACCACGGGGATCAGTAGGTGTCGGATAACTGTAGTTTCTGGTTTGTAGTTTCTCCAACAGGTGAATGTAAGGAGCCGGGAGCAATAGCCAGATTGCTATTGGCTATTGCAAATTGCAATAGTCAATAGCAAGCTGGCCATTGAAGCCCCCCCCCTCTCAGGTCTCTCTCAGGTCCGTTCCTCAGCTCAGTGGGCAGGAACAATAGCTAGCCTGCTATTGCAATTTGAAATAGCCAATAGCAGGCTGGCTTTTTCTCCCTATTGTTTACATCCTGCTGCAGACAGGGAAGATGTAAACAAAGAATTTCTTTTAGTGTGCACCAAGCAACTAGCATTTTTTTATATGCATCATATTGTCACAATATCATCATAACAATCAAATACAAGGCAACAGTTTTGAACCCAGCATGGTTCTTCAAGTCCACAAACTGTGATCAGAAGTACAAACACTTTTCTTGATCTCGTTCTAAATACTGGAAATTGTGTGTTGTTAGCACAAGAGGTTCATTGGGGTACAGTATGTGTTGAATGTTGCAGGTGAAGTTTAAATATTGGGAGGATCATCCTGCTTGGTCTCTTCAATGCATATCAAAAGGATTTATTCATGATTTGTAGAAGATGATTGAATTGGTTGTGCAAAGCAATTTCCAGTATTTAAAATGATATAGAGAAAAGTGTTTGTACTTCTGATACCAATTGGGCTTGAAGAAGAACCATGCTGGGATCAAAACTGTTGCCCTGTATTTGAGTATGATGATATCATAACAAATAAAGACAAAGAGGAAACAGCTGCTCTTGAACATTTAACGAATTCTGCTATTTTGCTGATACTCGCTCCATGGCTCCGAGCGCCAACAATCATCCCACGTTCAAAAGCTGTTAAATCGCATTGTTTACCCATATCTTCAGAAAACAATCACTTCTACTGTTGTGGTAAACAACCTGCTTCCCTATTTATAATGGTCTGGCCCTCTAGCAACTTCAGTGCGAAATTATAGCTAATTTGCCTACAAACGTCAGGTGGTCATAATAATCTGGCCACTCAGTGTGTATATAAAGGAGGGACTTAATGTGGATTCTAATTTTATGACACTACCAGAACTTTTTATGAATCTATGGAACATCACAATATTCATGTATGTCTATATATCTGATCTGTTTAGGGTTTATTTGCTCTGTCTTTTGATTACCAGGAGGCATTCTTTACTCCCAGGTCTTCAAGGCTTCAACATGCAAACAGAACTATTTGAACAAAGAGATGCAGAGAACTGAAAAGAAACTACCAACTTTAGCAATTCTATTTCAAAATAAACTCAACACAGGACAAAATCAAAGTTTAAATATTTTTATTAAAATAATCAAAACTTGATCTATAAAACCACAAACAATTATCAGAACCTAGAAAAATATTTTCAAAATCTACAAAGAACAATTTCTTTCATTATAACACAAATAACATAAATATTGATGTCTTAGGGTCCATTCATACTATTGTGTTGCAATTACACACACGGTTTTATGCGTTAGTGTGATGCATTGTCATTCAATCTGAATGGCACCCCAATGGTCCTTGCCGATGGGCGTGCATTGCGAGAAATACCTTTTTTGGTGCATTGGGCAGCTCATTTACATAACTTGGCTACCTTAGCAGAGTGCTTGTTATTATGTGCGCGCTAATGCACCGCAATAGTGTGAATGGGCCTATTAGTTTATGAGAATGCATACTTTAAGGCAATGTAATCAAAGTCATGTTTAAACTTTCATCAGTGGCAATCCCCCAACATATAGTATGTACCAACATGTGATGGTTTAGCAGCTCACTGATTGGCTCTCCCAGGTGTGTGTAGGTTGGAAATGATTGGACTGTTCAATGCAATGCAGTTCTAACCACAGAAACCCAGCAAAAGCATGACAGTTACAACACTTTACCAGCAGTGGTGATTGCGAGATAAAATCCATGTCAAGGTAAAACTTGACTACACTGAAGGGTCAGAAGTAGAAGATAATTTCCTTAAAACAGGAAGTTATATATAAAGCTTCACTACAGTCACCCTGACACCAGAGAGTGGAGTGAGTTCATCTCTTTCATCCTATTCTCTCCTCCTATTAGCATTTTCCTTGCATTGCAACACATCTGACTGAGTCCTTCTCCCTTCCCATCTTTGAGCTCTGCTGTACTGCAAAAGGCTCACACCAAACCAAATGCAGGTACTGACACTGTTTACAATTATAAAATAAATGTAATGATGTGTTAAGATTACAGAGCTGCAATACTTTGTGTTTTTGAGTTTCTCCCTGGGTCTCCAGTACTGACATACCTGCAAGTTCCCAGTTCTCCACAACTGCTGAGATAAGAAAGATTCCTATTTCAGCAGGAGGAGTGATACTCAAAAGGGGACGGGGCAAGAACAGAGCGGGGTACAATAGTAAGAAAATAGTTACACTGGTGTCCCTATGTGGGATAAAGAGTCCGCATGTGGCTCAGCATACTAGACCTTACCTATAACTGACCTTTTAGCAATAGCACAGCCCATAGCCTATACATAGCACGATGAAACCGTGTACAAAATGCTGGTTTTAGTGAAATGGTGGACACTTGGAATTAGTCTGCTTCACAGTCAAGCCGCCATTAGCATGTAACAGAGTCAGCTATTGTGCAATGGGAACATTCCCAAGCATGTAGTGTAAATACAATATGCCTACGCTAAAGCGTGGAGTCCTTAATTGTGCTTTCAGGTGTTATGATAATGGAAAGTCGCTAGTTTTTCACTCTTCAATTACAAAAATCCAAGTATCAGAAGTTCTAAAAATTAGAAATATTTCCCCAACATCCTCTAACTTATAAGATTCAAACTTTTATGATAGGTTTGAATCTCTTTTTTGACAGTCTCCAGTTTAAGGAGCCCACTGGCACATCAGACACTTTGTTTTATGGACATATTACTTCCTATCAGTAAAAACAACAGGACATGGGAGCGAACCAACCATATCACTACATAGCCAGGTCTAATGCTGAAGGGGTATTTCCATTAAAAACTGTATGTAGATAGGGTACACATCATAAATACTCATTCAGCCATGATTACGGTCAGTGTGACGGGCGTGTGATACGAGGTCTGGCTGCTGATTAACTTCATCTGCATATAAAGGTTCGGTCTGGTA